AAAACTATTACTTTATCAGGAATGTTTTCTCTAAATATAAATGAAATACATACCTAAGGTAAAAGAAGAATAATAAGACTGTAATTTAGAGTTGCTTTAATCCCCTTACTTGGATCAGCAATGAACACCCTTGGTACCAGTAATCAGGTGACCAGGAGTATATAGCGTAGGGCAAGGTTGCTGTCAGGGATGGCTCCAGAGTTCTGAGGATCAGTGATGTCAGTTCAAAGAATAAGATGTGCCTGATTCAGGTCGTGTGGTCTTTTTGGTTCCTCACTATGCCGTGGTCTTCCCAATTCTTTGCTGTGGATCTGAGAGCTGCACAGTTAATAAGGATGATAGAAAAATTGGTGCCTTTGAGTTGTAGCATTGTGGAAGAATACTGGGTATCTCATGGACTGCCAAACGAGCAAACAATATAGTGTAGCCGGAGTGCTCCTTGAATGCAAAGATGACAAACCTTTGTTTCTCATACTTTGGACATGTTCCTAAGAGAAGCTGTTCCTTGGAGAGGGACATCCTTGTGCTTCGAAAGGTGGAAGGTCAGCAAAAGAGAGGAAAATGAGATGGATTGAAACAGTGACTTCAGTAATGGACTCTGGTATGTCGGAGAGTGAGGATGGCACAGGATAGGACAGGGTTCAGATCTGTTCACAGGGTTGCTGTGAGTCATGCTCTGCTCGACAGCACTTAACAACAACAACAGTCTTCAGTAATTTTTTTTAAAAATTTTTTTTTCAGTAATATTTTAAAATATTACAAAGCCAGTACCAGAAATGGGAAGAAAATGACTAATTTGTAAGTGGATTTTATAACACAGTACCAGTTGTCCTTTCCACGATGGAGTCACATTAGCAGCTCATAGGCCACATACTCTGCCACTGTCCATCAGTGGAGACGTGTATAAGATGGTGACCAGGCTGCAGAGGAGCTTCCACGCTGAGACTGGACGGAAAGGCCTGCTGTAACCTTCTGCAGTCAGCCAAGGAAATCCCTGTGAATCATTGTGGTCTGTTCACCAAATGCTCGTGGGGATGGTGTTGCCCTGCGTATCCGTTTAGTCCATTGTGCATTGGGATGTCAGCCTGCCTGGATAATCTAGCCAGCAGCTAACAGTCACAATGACCTGACCACCGAAGTTACATTAAATACTACATGATTGTTTATCATTTAAAAGTGATAATATATGCTCCTTTTATTGTGAAAGGGTCTCTGGTGGTGGATGCTTGTTATTTTTTCACACTGCTAACAGAAAGCTCTGTACTTCCATGGGAGAAAATAAGATAATCTGTTCCAGCAAAGGTTTACAGCCTTTAAAAGCAGACCCTCTAGTGGATTTCCAAAGGCAGTAAATTGCACAGCAGGAGATTGCCCATCTTTCTCCACAGAGTAGGTGGTGGACTTGAATTGCAAGCCTTCAGGTTGGCAGTGCAGCTCTTTAGCACGAGGACACCAGAGCTTCCAAGGAAATCTTCTGGATATCAGTGCTCAGAAATGGGCTCCTTAACTAACTTGGAAGACACTCAAAATATAATGCCTGTATGGTTGCAGCACGTGTTCTTACCACTAGGCCACAGTTATTGTTGGTTGGTGTTGAGTTGGGTTTGACTCATAGTGACCCTGTGAAAAACAGATCTGAACCCTGACTTATCCTGTGCCATTCTTACTATTTCTGACAGCCCATTGCTGCAGATATGGGGCCAGTCCATATGGTTGAGGGTCTTCCTCTCTTGCACCATCCCTCCACCTTCCAAACGTGATACTCGTCTCCAAAAAGTAGCCTCTCCTAGCAACACGTCCAGAGTGTATGAAGCCACTAGAACTCCCTAAATAATAGAGACTAAAAGAATTACAAAGACAGACTTTGCTACCAAGTATAAAGAGTATCACAGCAAACCCAACCCACTGCTATTTAATTGATCCAGCCTCTTATCAACGCAATGGTAGAACTGCTCCATGGGTTTTCTTGGCTGTAATCTTTTCAGACCCAGATTTCCAAGCCTTGTTCCCACATTGCTACTGGTTGGTTTTGAACTGCCAACCTTTAGGTTACTAACACAGTGCAGACTATCTGCATCATCTTGATAAGCATCATTATGGTAGATGGAGAAAAGATTGGATTTGTCAGCAATTTTATCTTATTTGGACCTACAGTCAACACCTTTATAGCAGAGAGGAGATCAGGAGACATAATGCTTTGGGCAAGTCCACTGTCAAGGACCTCTGCAAAATAGTGAAGAGGCGATATGTCTATTTGAAGACTAAGGTGTCCTTAATTCAGGAATTGGTCAATCAATTTTCAGTCACTTCCTGTGCATTTGAAAGATGGTGTGGTAAAAATGAAACCTTTTTGGGGACATGGTTTCCAACTACCTTAACTTTGGACATGTGGTCTTGCAATTCATCAACAGCTGTAGGGCCAATAAAGGAGAGCACTTTCCAGACTTTGAAAGATGGTGGAAAGAGAGTGAAGAGGTTGTGGCACTGCTGTGAGGAGACTGTGACCAGAGGAACACTGGAGATGGAGCCACAGTTAAAGGTTTTGGTTATTGGATGATTGAAGGAAAAGCTGACGTGTAACTACTCTGAGATATCGAGTTTACTGGATGATTGAGAATACTAGAGGCTTCTTGCATTTGTACTCCTGAACTAATTTCACTAATTGAGGAATTGTGCCTTGTTAATCTAGTTTGGGTCTGCTGGACTGGGTCTGCTGGATTAAACCTTCGCTTATTTTGTGTGATATTCTTTGTCTTCCCCCCCCCCAAATTCCCCAACTTATTTCCCTAATACCCAACTGTGAGTAAAGTCTGTAATTCAAGTTGCAGTGAACATTGGACCCCATGATTCATAGGAACAGGTGCAGAAGCATGTTGTATGGCATGTATGACCATGTAGCTATTTGTATAATTTTGTGGATATTATTGATGGGACAGTACCCCTCTGTGAAGCAGGGACAAGTCAGACTTGGCCTTCCCCATTCTGCATCTACTCCTTTTTCAGAAGGACAGTGAATGACAGAGAAAAAAAAATTAAGGAAACATGGCATGGTGCACAATCAGAAAAGGTGTAGGTCAGGGATGCATCATATCCCCATACCTCTTCAGTCATATGCAAAACAGATAATTCAGGACACTGGACTTTATGAGGATGAATTGGACATCAGGATTGGAGGAAGACTCATCAACAACCTGTGCTATGCAGATGACACAGCTTTGCTTGGTAAAGTGGAGGAGGACCTGAGGCACTTGCTGTAGAAGGTCAAGAACTGCAGCCTTCAATATGGATTGAACTTCAACATCAAGAAAACAAAGATTCTCACCACTGGTTCAGTTGGCAGCATCATGATAGATGGAGAAGAGATTGAGGTTGTTAACAGCTTCAACTTACTTGGCTCTATAATTAACACTCTTGGTACCAGTAGCCAGGAAATTAAAAGATGAATTGCATTGGCAAAGTCTGCTGTCAGGGACCTCTCCACAGTATTGAGGAGCAATGATGTCGATGTCGATTTGGGGACTAAGGTGCACCTGATCTAGGCCATAATCTTTGCAGTTACTTGCTGTACATCAGAGAGCTGGCCAATGAATAAGGATGATAGAGGCCCTGGATGAGATGAATTGACTCAATAACTGGAATAATGGGGATAGGTGTGTCAGAAACAGTGAAATTGGCTCAGGATAGGACATGCTTCAGAGCTATTATATATAGGGTTACTGTCAGTCACAAGCGACTCAACAGCAGATAACAACAACCACCTTTGAGAGGTGGTCTTTTACAAGAGTATTGAATATCCCATGGATTTCCAAAAGAGCAAACAGATATGTCTTAGACAAAATGCAGCCAGAATGCTCCTTCTATACTTACAAGAGCTCATAAGGTTTCCAAGTATGAAGTAATATAACAAGAGTAAAGACTTACCTGACGTCTTGTCAGGCACTGCTAGACTGAGGTCCTGCTATTGCTGTGAGGTGGTGTGGAGTGAAGGGCAGCTTATAGTGACCCTATGAACAACAGATCTGAAACCTGTTTTATCCTGTGCCAACCTCACCTACTTAGACACATTTGAGCCCATTGCTGCAGTTACTGTGTCAGTCCACCTGCTTGATGGTCTTCCTCGCCTTTGCCATCCCCCCACCTTCCCAAGCATTATGTCCTTTCCCAAGGAGTAACTAGCCTTTTGTAGCAACGTGCCCATAGTATGTAAGATGAAGCTTCGCTGTCCTTGTGTCCATGGAGAACTCTGGCTGCACCTTCTCCAAGACATACATGGTGTGTTTGTTTTTGTTTTTGGGGTTTTTTTTGCATTCCAAAAGATATTCAGTACTCTAACAGTTCAAAGGCATCAGTTCTTCTTTCAACCTTATTCATTTTCCAGCTCTCAGTGACAAGTGATTGAAAAGACCAGGGTCTGAATCAAGCACACCTTAGTCCTTAAACTAACTTCATTGCTCCTCAGTAATTTAGAGAAGCCCTGACTGCAGACTTTCCTAGTGCAATGCAACTCTTGATATCCTGACTGTACGAAGTTATTGATTATGGAAACAAGTAAGATGAAGTTGTTGACAATTTCATTCTCTTCTCCTTTTATTAGATCCTATAAATTCTTATGAACAGAAATTATACAATATCATGGCATATTTCTGAAGTTCTGTAATTTTTCAGTTCATTTACTATTTTAATTTTTGTTTTCCTTTCAGGTCCAGGCCTTATCTATTTAAAGCTGATCATATATTTCCTACAAACAAAGAGAACTTACCAGTTGTTATTCTGTATGCAGAAATTGGTACTAAAGGATTTGGTAAATTTCACAAAGTATTATCTAAAAAAGCTCAAAATGAGGAAATTATGTATGTTCTTCGACATTACATCCAGGTAAATGCATATTTTTTTCCATGTTTATTCTGGTAGAAAAAGAATTTTGTGATAATTTTATATACTAAATTTAACTAATAGCTTTTACCAGAGACTGACTTACCTCTTTTTAAAAACAAATTTACTATTGAAAAACTATTGAATATGTAAATTTTATATGAACAGGAGCCCTATCATAACATGCAAGCAAAATCTTGATGAAGTTATATAAAAAAAAAGTGACTAAAACAGTACATCAGTAGAGAACTGGCAGAAATAAAAACTGGATTTAGAAGAGGCTGTTACATTAAGGATATTATTACCAGTGTTAGATGGATGTTGACTGAAAGGAGAGAATTCCAAAAGAATGTCTATTTTTGTTTCATTAACTGTGCAAACACACTTGGCTGTGTGAATCATAACAAATTGTGGCAAATATTGAGAAGACTGGAAATCCCAAAACACTTGATTGTCCTCATAGGAAAACTATACCTAGACCAGGAAGCTGTCAGGTGAACAGAGCAAGGGACTACTGCATGGTTCAAAACCTAGAAAGGAGTGTGTCTTCAGGGATGTGTCCTTTCTCCATGCCATTTCAATCTCTATGCAGAACAGATCATTCTAGAAGCTAGACTTTATGAAGAAGAACGGGATATCAGGATTGGAGGAAGACTTGGCAACAACTTGTATTATGCAGGTGACACAGCCTTACTTGCTGAAACTGAGGAGTACTAAAGCACTGTATAAAGTATTTCTGGCTCTTTACCTCTGGTATATTAATTTTATTTATGGTTTCCATTCTTTCCTCCATCGTGTACAACTTCTTCAGTAGTTGTTCATGTAACTCCTTGCTAGTATATTTCTTCTGCTTCCCTGTGTCTGGGGTATTCCTTGTGTCTGCTGTCTGATCTACTTTTTTGGAGAAGACTTGTTTGTGGTTTTATTTTGCTTTTTAAATTTCATTTGTTTTTTTCATGATATTTTAAGCTGCCTTCTGCTTTCTTGACATTACCTGAGTTCTTGGTATGTGTTAAAGGGTTTCTGTTGTATCTGTATAGGTTGTTGACAGTTCCTTATGTTTATTATGCTGTTGATAACTTGCAGGGTTAATGTTTCCTTTTATTGAGTTTCTGAGTGACAGTCTTCCTTGCCAGTTGTCTATGGGCAGATCTCTTCCCTGTTTCCTTGTCATCAAGCTTCTCATCCAGTTGTCCTTTGAGGGATAGGGAGCTGGGATCTTTACCTTTGCCCAGTTTGGTAGATCTGCTTTTCTGTCCTGTCCTATAATTTTGTTGAAGGGAGGAATTTTCCCCTAGGGGACGGCAGTGTTCCAGGAGTGACATGTTCCCAGCAGTGCAGTCACCAAGTGTCTGTAGTTGCTAATGGACATGGACCTTCCCCTTTCCTGGGCCTGGTTGGGAAGGGAGCTCCCCGAACTACCAAAGCAGACAAATACAACTTCTCAGCCCTGCAATTCCCAGTTCTGGTTGCTTGATAATGTCCAGGTGTACATATATCTCCTCTCCAGAACTAGCTGTTTGGGAAGGCAGCTGTTCCCACTTGAGCAGACAAAGGCCCAGTGAAGTGACAACTTCACAGCTATGCAGCACCCACTTCTACTTCTTGCTAATGTCTGGAACCGGTGTCCCCCTTGAGAGACTAATTGAGAGGGAGGCTTTTCTCTCCTGAGCAGACAAAGACTTATGGAAGTGAAAGCTTGTCAACAGTGCAGCTCCCAATTCTGTCTACTTGTTAATGTCTCAAGCTACATACCTGTGTATCCACTCCTGCGGTGGCCAGGAGGATAGCTATTCCTGTCTGAGCAGACAGAAGCTCAGGGAAGCCACACTTCTCAAAAATGCAACTCCCAGGTCTGTGGGAATATTATCTAGATAGACAAGCACTGTGCTAATAAGAATAAATGGGGAAACAAGCACGTGTATCCACACCCGGCTATAAAGTGGACAGATCCCAGCTCCTGGATTAAGATAAAGTAGAAAACAAGACTGACCATCAACTCTGGAAACAATGAGGTAAGAACAACAGAGAAATGTTAGAGGTTTACTGTTAGAGGCAGTGCTCAGATGGGAAGTCACTCAAATATGAGAACTAGCTGCAAATAACCGTTAATAATTGGAACATGGAATGTACAATGTGTGCATGTAGGAAAACTGGAAGTTGTCAACAATGAAATGGAATGCATGAAGATTGACATTCTAGGCAAGAGTGATATGGACTGGCACGGACCACTTTGAATTGCACTATCATATGATCTACTGTGCCGAGATTTCATAAGGATTCAGTCAGAAAATGGAACAAAAAGAAAAACAAACCCCAACATGTTGTGTTAGGAAACTGCTCTTGGAGACCTCTCCAGAGTGCTGAAGAGCAGTACTGTCAATTTAGAAACTAAGGAGCACCTGATCCAGGCCACCGTCTTTGCAATTACCTGCTGTGCATCTGAGAGCTGGACAGTGAATAAGGATGACAGAAGAAGAATTAATGCCTTTGAGTTTTGGTGCGAGAGAAAAGTATTAAATATATGAACTGCCAAAGAGAACTAATAGGTCTGTTCTGAAGACGGTGAAGCCAGGTTGCTCCTTAGAGGCAAGGATTTTGAAGCTCATCTCACATACTTTGGGCATGTTGCCAGGAGGAATCAGTCCTTGGCAAAGAACATCATGCTTGGAAGGGTAGAGGATCATTGCAGAAGTGGAAGACCCTGGATGAGATCGATTGACACAGTGACTGTGGCAGTGGGGTCTGATGTGTCAGAGATTGTGAAGTGGTTCAGTATCGGGCAAGGTTAGAGCCGTTGTTTATAGGGTCACTCTGAGTTATGGTCGACTTGGTGACACAACACCACCACCACTGTGATGGGAATGAAAAACTGAGGAAGAATGGTGTTGCGTTCATAAGTGAAAGTACAGTTTCAGGGTCTTTCCTGAATCACAGTGTTGTGAGTGATGGGATACTATTCATGGGCAAGGAAAACCTGTTGACGTGATGATTACTCAAATATATGCACCAATAATCAAAGCCTTAAAAGAGGAAAATGAGGATTTCTACCCACTTTTACAATCTGAAATTGATCAGATGTGCTATCAAGGTGCATTAATAGTTCTTAGTGACTAGAATTTGGAAGCAGGAGTGGCATCTATACCCTAAACAACATGCCTCTGGAAACTGTGAACTTTGATAAATGATAATAGTTATAAAAATGCTTCAGGCCTTTTGTTCATAATGTTGCTGTGAGTTGTGTTTAACTTGAAGGCAATCAACAACAACAGCAGCAGCAGCAACTAGAATGCAGGTGTTGGAAAAAATAAGGAATGATAGTCTGAAAGTTTGGGCTTGGTGACAGAAATGAGATTGTGAGCAAGTAATTTTTATTTTGTACATTCAGTGACTTATTCACAGCAAACACCTTTTTTTAAGAAACACAGAAGGTGACTTTACACATGGACTTCACCTGATCAACAGCACAGAAATCAGATTCACTACTTGTGTGGAAAGAATCATTGGAGAAGCTCAGTATCAGGAGTGAAGACCAGGCCAGGTGCTAACTGGGTCAGACCACCAATTACCCATGTGCAAGTTCAAACTGAAACCGAAGAAGATTAAAACAAATTGTTCCAAGAACCAAAACATGACCTTGAGTCTGTCCCACTTGAATTAGAAAATCATCTTAACAGGTTTGTTTTGTTTTTTTGATTTTTTTAAACCTGTTGTATGCCGTCAAATCAGTCCGATTGGCTCAGGAGGATATTGCCCCTCCTCCAGCAGAGCATCTGGTGGATTCAAACCACGTGCCTTCTGGATTGCAGTGTACCTTCTTGCCAATAGGCCACCAGAGCTCCCTATCTTAACAGGTTTGAGGCATTGGTCACCAATGGTCAAAGACAGAGGAGCTGTGGGATGACAGAAATGATATCATCCATGAAGAGCACAAACGTCATTAAAAAGACAAGAGAAATAAAAAGCCAAAATGGATGTCAGAAGAAACTATGAAAATTGTATTCGAGTGTAGAGAAGCCAAAACAAAGAAAAGAGATTCTGAACAAAAAGAGTTGAACAGAAGGTGTCAAAGCGTAGATCTAGAATACAGAGTATTAAAATGAAATGTGCCGAGAGCTGGAATCAGAAAATAAAAAAGAAAGAACTTGCTCTGCTTGTCTCAAGCTAAAAAACAAGTCCAAGCTTAGAGTTTCAATACTGAGAAATCCACAGGCAAAATCTAGAATGATCCAAGCAATATTCAGAAGAAGATGGAAGGAATACACAAAATCTCTGTACCCAAAAGAATTGGTTGGTGGAAAAATTTTGCCAAGTATAGTATGAGCCAAGTGCCAGTGGTAACAAAGAAAAAAGTTCATTCTGTGCTGAAGACAATGATAAAAAATAAGAGCCCGGGAGTAGATGGGATGCCAGTTGACATGTTTCACCTAACAGATGCAAGGATACCCGTTTGAGAACTATGATGTTCCTGACCCAACCCATAATATTTTCAGTTGGACAGTGAATAAGGAAAACAAAAGAGAAATTGAATTTCTTTGAATTTCAGTGTTGGTGAAGAATACTTAATATACCACTGACTATCAGAAGAACAAAATCTATCTTACAAGTCCCGCCAGAATGCTCATTAGAGGTGGAGGTGCTGAGACTTTGTCTCCTGTACTTTGGATTTGTTATCAGGAAGGGCCTGTCCCGGGATTAGGACAATATGCTTGTCCTTATAGTAGAGGGTCAGTGAAAAAGAATACCCTCAGTGATTGGCTCTGGATGCTTAGACATAGCAAGCGTTGTGGGGATGGCGTGGGACAAGGCAGTGTTTCCTTCTCTTGTTTCCTCCTTGGTACCTAACAACAAGAACAAGAATTTTCTTTCAAGGAGTCCTAGTGATTGAAGTGGACAAAATCTAGAATGATCCAGGAAGCATTAAAAGAAGATGGAAGGAACACGTCTTTCACTTGGTCTTTTCACTCACTTCCTCTTTTCATGTATCTGAAAGTTGGACGATG